CCCTACCTGAAACACACAGGCTTTGCAAGTAGATATCACGGACTTTGCAATTACTTCAACTAATAGATTCCGTTTCTACTTAAGCTAATATAAATTGGTTTTTTATCACTTGCAAAGAAAATTGTTACTATTTCAGTAAGTATTCCCCCCGATCTTTTATAATTACCTTTGTGGTTTTTTTTTTCCTTTGAGGAAGAATGGATAGAACTTGAAGTCTGATAGCATGTGTCTGATGTATACATGAGTGTTCATTTCAACCTGAGGTTTTTATATTGAGTTACTGGAAGTATGTGAATGCTATTTATGAAGACGTCACAGTCAGAATGAGGAATGCATTGTTTATAAATAATTCCAAATGGAAGATTAGTTAGAGGAACACTCTCATGTCCAGGGGACAATTTTTCAGGGACTCTGACTGAGAGTGCATGGTATTTATGAGTAATTCTTTAATATTATCAACCAAGGAAAGTAGACTTTACAATGCATAAGGTTAAATAATTTATGGACACGTTAAAGCCTGATCTTGTCTTCAGAACAAGTATAGAGGAAAATTCTTAAAGTGTGACATCTACTGGACTCAGGAACTTTCTGTTCCTCATTGGAGTCCTTAGTCTACCAATTTATAAATGGATTCATCAAGGGTTCCTATTTCTACCTCATTTGTTGTTGTTACTTGCTGCAGAGTCGGTTCCGACTCATAGCAACCCTATGTACAATAGGACGAGACAGTGCCTGGTCTTGTGCCATCCTCATAATCGTTGTTAAGCTTGAGCCCATTTTTGCACCCACTGTGTCAATCTATCTCGTTGAAGGTCTCTCTTTTTCACTGACCCTTTACTTTACTAACTATGATGTTCTTCTCCAGGAACTGGTCCCTCCTGATAACATGTCCAAAGTACGTGAAATGAAGTGTCACCATCCTCACTTCAAAGGAGCATTCTGGCTGTACTTCTTCCAAGACAGATTGGTTCGTTCTTCTGGCATTCCATGGTATATTCAATATCAATTCTTCTTCAGTCTTCCTTATTCTTGGTCCAGCTTTCAGATGCATATCAGGTGATTGAAAATGCCATGGCTTGGGTCAGGTTTACCTTAGTCCTTCAAGTGATATCTTTGCTTTTTTAACACTTTAAAGATGTCTTTTGCAGCAGATTTGCCCAATGCAATGCGTCATTTGATTTCTTGACTGTTGCTTCCATGGGCGTTGATTGTGGATCCAAGTAAAATGAAATCCTTGACGACTTCAATCTTTTCTCCATTTATCGTAATGTTGCTTATTGGTCCAGTTGTGAGGATTTTTGTTTTCTTTATGTTGAGGTGTAATCCATACTGAAGGCTTCGTCTTTGATCTTCATCAGTAAGTGCTTCAAATCCTCTTCATTTTCAGCAAGCAAGATTGTGTCATCTGCATAATGCAGGTTGTTAATGAGTCTTCCTCCAATCCTGATGAAAGTTCTTCTTCATACAGTCCACCTTCTTGGCTTATTTGCTCAGCATACAGACTGAATAAGTGTGGTGAAAGGATCCAACCCCGACGGACACCTTTCCTGACGTTAAACCGTGAAGTATCCCCTGGTTCTGTTGAAATGACTGCCTCTTGGTCTGTGTACAGTTTCCTCATGAGCACAGTTAAGTGTTCTGGAATTCTCATTCTTCCCAATGTTATCCATGATTTATTATGATGCACACAGCTGAATGCCTTTGCATAGTCAATAAAACACAGGTAAACATCTTTCTGGTATTCTCTGCTTTCAGCCAAGATCCATCGGATATCAGCAATAATATCCCTCGTTCACCATCCTCTCATGAATCCGGCTTGAATTTCTGGCAGTTCCTGGTCAACATACTGCTGCAACAGCTTTTGAATGATCTTCAGCAAAATTTTACTGGCGTGGGATATTAATGATATTGTTTGATAATTTCTGCATTCTGTCGGATCACCTCTCTTTCGAATAGGGATGAACACGGGTCTCTTCCAGTCGGTTGGCCAGGTCGCTGTCTTCCAAATTTCTTGGCATAGATGAGTGTGCACTTCCAGCGCTGCATCCATTAGTTGAGACATCTCAATCGGTATTTCATCAGTTCCTGGACGCTTGTTTTTCGCCAATGCCTGTAGTGCAGCTTGAACTTCTTCCTTCACTACCATTGGTTCTTGATCATATGCTACCTCCTGCAATGGTTTGATATCAACCGATTCTTTTTGGGACAGTGGCTCTGTGTATTCCTTCCATCTTCTTTTGATGCTTCCAGCGTCTTCCAGTATTTTGCCCATAGAATCCTTCAAAATTGCAGCTTGAGGCTTGTATTTTTTTCTTCAGTTCTTTCAGCTTGAAAAATACCAGGCATGTTCTTCCTTTTGGTTTTCTAACTCCAGGTCCTTGCACATGTCATTATAATATATTACTTTGTCTTCTTGAGCCGCACTTTGAAATTTTCTGTTTAGCTTTTTTACTTCATCATTTCTTCCTTTTGCTTTAGCTACTCGACATTCAAGAGCAAGTTTCAGAGACTCTTCTGACATCCGTTTTGGTCTTTTCTTTCTTTCCTGCATTCTTCATGTATGATGTCCTTTATGTCATTTCACAACTCATCTGGTCTTCAGTCATTAGTGTTCAGTGCATCAAATCTATTCTTGAGATGGTCTCTAAATTCAGGTGGGATATACTCAAGGTCATACTTTGGCTCTCATGGACTTGTTTTAATTTTCTTCAGCTTCAAGTTAAACTTGCATAAAAGCAAGTGATAGTCTGTTCTACAGTCAGCCCCTGGCCTTGTTCTGATTGATGATATTGAGCTTTTCCATCTTCTCTTTCCACAGATGTAGTCAATTTGATTCGTGTGTATTCCATCTGGCTACGTCCACATACGTGGTCACCATTTATGTTTACCCAAACATTAAAATATTGAAGAAAAGACTTGTCATCTGGCACCTTATAAAAATGTCTGTTGACACAGAAAGATAAGCATGTGACACTATTTTCAAATGATATTTGTCCAGAGCACAGGTGATTGGGTAGAGAGTGAAGAATACATACACCATGTAATATCTTTAACCTTCACCTAGTGGACATGGTCCCAGCCCAGTGCTTTGATAAGGTTAGTGCTCATGGGGTGCTTAATATAAACTGCCTTATTTAGTCCTCCCAACTCTACAAGGTGCATATTATTTCTCCACTCTACAGATGGTGAAATTTTGTGATTCAGTGAGGGTAGGTCACTTACTTTGGGCATGTTATCAGGAAGGATGAATCGCTGGAGAAAAACATTATGCTTGGTAAAGTAGAAGGTCAGTGAAAAAGAGAAAGACCCTCAACAAGATGGCTTGACACAGTGGCTGAAACAGTGGGCTCAAAAATACCTACTGTTCCGAGAGTGGCACAGGACCAGGTAATGTTACCTTCTGTTATACGTAGGGTCCCTATGAGTCGGAGCTGAATTGATGGCACCTAACAACAACAACCAAGGTCACACAACCGGTAAAGGTGAACCTGGGAATTGAGTACAGGTCTGTGTGAATCCACAGATACTCTTATCCCTATACAGCTCCATGTATATTTCCCAACAGTACACCACCCAAGGTTGGGGGAGGTATAAAGTATAGAATTATGAGTTCTCTTTAGCAGAAGGGCTGTTGCCAGTGATTATCCCCAGGATTGCATCATTTCCAGTGTTGCTAAGTACTGTAGCAGGAATTACATGACTTGGATGACAGGTCTTTATTATCAGTGTTGGGATGAAAGAGCCCAAGGAGGAGAAGGGACAATTTACTGTCTGCGTGTCTCTAATGAAGCTCTCAGGGAATATGGCCCCAGTGGCCATGGAGGCTCCTGCAAAGGGCTCGTGTTGCTATTCCCCTAAACACCTTTCCTGCATTGAGGACTAAAGCCATGTGCTCCAGCTCCTCATTCATGCATACTTAGCCTGCCAACCCAATTGGCGAGACCCTGTTCTTCCAACCAATAACCTCTGTCAAGGTCTGAAGAAGCGAAATGAGCCTGGGACTCCTAGCGACAGTGAGGACTACGATTCTTCTCAGGTAGGAGTCACACCAGTGAAGACTTCACCAATAACTGCTTGTTAGGGTGGAAAGCCCTATACAGGGGTTCCTCATTAAGTCTTTTAAATGAAGCCAGTGTTCTAAAATCATCAGCTGTTCCCTGAGATCACCCAGGAATGACCAGGACATGTCCTGTCTGTTTATGAGCCTCTGGACTGTGGGCATCACTAGTTGGCTGAGTTTCTGTGTATACTCTTGGGTCATTTCCATTTTAATTTTACCAGTTGGACTTAGGCAGCTCAATGGACACAGCCAAGAAGTCTTGACTCAGACCTCTGTAAAGTTTCTGTAAGCATAAGCCCAGAAAGAAGCAACAGTAGCAACAATATTATAATTATCACTTTGGAAGCAATGAATGATGGGTGGCTGATATAATTCTCTCAGCACATGTGTTAAGAATGTGTACCACGTCCAGGTTAAAGCAGATGAAACTGAAACTCAGAGAAATTAAACATTTCCTCTAAGGCAACTTCACTGATAGTGTTGATGATATCAGTAGCCTATATTAAATACTGAATACATGTCAGTCTCTATGGTAACCATTGTACATATGTGTTGTCTACTACTCAATCCAATCTTAAGGTGCCTATTAATACTTTATATTTATAGTGTTTTAAACATTTAGTTGAAAAAATTCATGGTAATGGTAGAAAGCTGAAACAGTATAAAAGGATCTACAGAGAAAAACACTGTCACAATCTTTTGAGCATCCTTCCAGAGGTACTATGTATGCATAAGTATTTGTATTGATTTTGCTGGTGAAAAAATGGAGCCTCAGAGACATCCAGTAGCTGGCTGAAACCCCCAGGAAGAAAAATCCTAATGATTTACCTATGTCACACAGAGATTTCTCATTGTGGTCTTCTTAATTGTCCCACCTCAATCATCCTTTTCCAGGTTTTAAAATTTATCCTGTCTTGTCTACATCTGGACTCAGGTCCTGATGCCCATGGGCAGAGAAAACCAGTCGAGTGTCTCCGAGTTCCTCCTCCTGGGGCTCTCCAGGCAGCCCCAGCTGCAGCAGCTCCTCTTCGTGCTCTTCCTGAGCATGTACCTGGCCACAGTCCTGGGAAACCTGCTCATCATCCTGGCCATCAGTGCAGATTCCCGCCTTCACACCCCCATGTTCTTCTTCATCAGCAACCTCTCCTTCGTGGACGTCTGCTTCACTTCCACCACTGTCCCCAAGATGCTGGTCAACCATGTACTCGGGAGTCAGACCATCTCCTTTCCTGGCTGTCTCACACAGATGTATTTTCTTTTTATGTTCGTGGACACGGACAATTTCCTCCTGGCTGTGATGGCCTATGACCGCTTTGCTGCTGTGTGCCACCCCTTACACTACGCAACAAAGATGACCTCTCAGCTCTGTGCCCTACTGGTTGCTGGGTCGTGGGTCATTGCTAACATGAATGTCGTCTTGCATACCTTGCTGATGGCTCGCCTTTCATTCTGTGCAGACAACAAAATCTCCCATTTCTTCTGTGATGTGACTCCTCTCCTGAGACTCTCCTGCTCCGACACACACCTCAATGAGATGATAATTCTTACTGAAGGGGCCCTGATAATGATCACCCCATTTGTTTGCATTCTGGTTTCCTACATTTGCATCACCTCTGCTGTCCTGAGAGTCCCATCCAAAAAGGGAAGATGGAAAGTCTTTTCCACCTGTGGCTCCCACCTGGCTGTGGTTTCCCTCTTCTATGGCACCATCATTGCTGTGTATTTCAACCCTTCATCCTCCCACTCAGCTGAGAAAGACACCGCAGCTACTGTGTTGTACACAGTGGTGACCCCTATGCTGAATCCTTTCATTTACAGCCTGAGGAACAAGGACATGAAAGGGGCCCTAAGAAAAGTGATTGGCAGAGAGAGGTTTTCTACCCGATGAAAGCATCTATGCTGAGTCTCATTTCCAAGCAAAGTTCTTTTTCACCCATTGAGTATAAGGTAGCAATTTTTTTTTTTTTTTTTTTTTGTCAAAGCCAGTCTGGAAATAAACATATTGCTAGGGGCACATAGAAGGCTGTTGTTACTTATTGATTAGTAGACTGGAAGTCACTGTAATCCTTCTGTATATGCCAAGTAATGAGGCTGCTTTTTTTTTTTTTTTACTAACTTTTGACGTATTTTACACCCAGAGTTTCTCTTTTTAAGTGATCTGTTTGGAAAGACACATGCTACAAGTATTTTTGAATATTAGAATCATCTGGGAAGTTTTAAAAACATCCTGTTGTCCAGTCTCCAGCAGTGATCAAGTAAATCAGAATCTCTGGGGTGAGCTTGACACTGATAATTTTAGGAAATTCTCTGGTGATTCTGATGTGCAGTCAGTGTCAAGAATCACCCATCTACCTCATACTCCTTTATATGTCCTCCGTGACGGTCAGTCATAAAGGTTGGGTCTCAAAAACCCTCACAAATTAGTTTTGAGACTCAGACAAAAGAATGACAGGGGGAAATCTGAGGACTCAAATGGGTAACGACATTTCAAATGGAAAGCAGAGGCCCTGGTGGGCATTGTGGCCTAGACCACCAAGAGATGAAGAAACACAGAATCGTGGAAACCCTTCATGACCATCTGGCTTGGCTGTCTGATTTTGGGGGGTGGGTCCAGCTGGGGTAATGTCTTTGATATCATGGAAATAATCAATATTTGCTATTCCCTCTGCCAAGACCAACTCCCCTTGTTTTCTTCTCAGGCTACAACCCCCTCCCCAATCCATAGCTTCAAGAGCCAAGTCTAAGGTCACCTGTTCCTCCTGGAAGCCTCCCTGATTCCCTCTTCTGGGTCTCAGGGTTCTATTTTTCTTTGAGTTAATTGCACATTGTACTATAAATATTTGCCTTTCACCTATTCTCCCTCCACAAGGCTTTCCACAGATCATGAGACACTCCAGATCCAAATACACATACTATTTACCTTGTATCTCTAGTGGTTAGCATTGTTACTGGACCAAGGCAATAACCAGCTTAGGGTGAAAGAAATAAAAGAATGGCTGGATGAATATTGCTTAATAACATTTGGTATTCCAGAGGTAATGCCTACACACTTTGGAAGAGTGAAAAATCATAAATGTAAGATTAAAATAGCCTGTAACTTTGCCATTTAAGATAATCATAGTTAGATATTTATGAATAATAGTTTTACAAAAGTTGGCTGCAATCTATTCATATCATTCTGTATTCTGATTTTTCCAGTTCCTTCTTCCCATGTCAGTAAATACTTTAGAAAGTTGTTTTTAATGTCTGCATAATATTTCATGACATGGATGAAGTATATTCATTCTCCAACCCTGAACAACTTCAAGTGTCTCAACGGTAAATAACACTGCTGCCTACATCCTCAGGTGTAATTCTTTGTCTGTGGCCAGGCATGGACCAGTAACTTGAAATTTGCCTCCAAAATTGGAGGGTGTTGGGAGAGCAAAAAAGAAGCTGGCAACTCCAGTGTGGCGGTGAAGGAGGCTTTATTAGGGAGATTTACACGTCAAGGCAGTCCAAGTACTGGGAGGCTGCAGGACCAAAGCAGAGCTCCAAACTCAGCAGTAGTGGGGCAGAGGTTTTATAGTGGTCAAGGAAAAAGGTGGTTCCACTCCAGAGGGTTACATAAGACTGCCTCAGCAAGGTCATATAACAGAGGCTTGGGAAACAGCAGTGAATTACAGAAATAGCAGTCAACTAATGGAAAGCATGAGGACAGCCATGTTCTGCCTCGCGCCCCTAAGGCCAGCTCTTACAATCTGATGCATTCCTCATCTTCTGCAAAGTCCCTGAGAGCCCTGAGAGGTGGTGTCCCCGTAGGGACAGACGGTGTTGCTGTAGCTGGAGGCACAGATCACACCAGCAGTATAGACAAACACAGCAGACAATCCCTATTCCCAGGAAAAGACCAGATCCATTAAAACACCATGTCAATTAGAGTGCTGCCCAATTGGTTCTGATCAGGGGCTCCACCTTACAAGGCATGCCTTCAGCACTAAAGAAAGTAACCTGAAGCAGGTCCCCCACCCCACCTGTGTGGCTTTTAGTCCATCAAAGCATACAGAGGTGACAAGAGAGGAAGAGCATTTTATTGCAAGTGCATGAACAAGTTGCAGAGAGGTGATTCCTCAGATTCTACTCACTGATCTGCTGGAAGCTCAGTTTTTTATACAGTTTCAAACAAGGAAGTTCATACAAATATCAGGGGTTACATTGGCTGTCATGGCACGCAGTCAGAGTAGAGTTGTTCACACAACCTTTTCTTAGCATGTAGAGAAAATGACATCTAACTCTGCCTTGGGGTGGCAACTTTACTATGCTAATGAGACCTTTAGGGGACTTTTGACTTTTAGCAGGCTCCAGCTGGTTTAGAAGCAGGGACTTATCTTAGTTTTGAAAAAGAGTCTGAAAGTTCAGAGTGTTTTTTTTGTGGTTCTAATCAGGACAGAACAGAAACTATGCTGAGTTTCGGGAAGAGACTGCACTTTTGCCATTCAGAAGAGACCTTATGATACCTCCGCTGGGCCTCGCTATCAGGAAGGGGAGTGGTCCACAGAGCCAGCAGCTGCTTTTGTGGTGGACTACAGCGACGCCATGAGGCCACTCCAGGAAGAGGTTGGCAGCCCCGAAGGGAAGAATGCAGAGTAAGCCATACCTATGGTTGAAAAGACAGGTGTTTAGAAGATACCAAGAGAGGTAAATCTCCCCCTCCACTAGGATCACACTAGTGGCGTCCCCTCAGATAGAGAGAACAGCCGCTGCTTTAGACTTTTTTCCTGGCTGAGTGTTCCATACGTGCTGCTCTGCGGAGGTCACTTGAGGTGTTGTGAGTATAGTCACCCTTTTTGCTGTATGCCAGAAAAGGAGACTCACTTCCATCCCTCATGGTATAGCCATCCTTTCTTTCCATGTGAAGCGTTACTGCCAAGACCCTCCATTCAGTAGGATGGTGGGCTCCCGCATTAGGCTGATCAGTTCCTCCACCTCCAGAGAGAGGAAGTAAACAATTCATCCTGGTGGGTGACCCAGGACAGGTGCCAATAGATGGTTCCCCTTTCCGGCTCCAGGTCCTGGGGTGTCTGGAGGACCATGTTGTTTTGTTCAGGCAACAACCTTGATGGATATGCTTTCAGATCCCGTGATATCACTCTTATCACTGTTAGAGGGTCACTAGGGGCTCCTAGTCTGGCATACAAAGCTAAAGTCCCAGTAGAAGCTGAGTTAATCAACCTCAGAGCCTCAGGCGCACCTTGTTATTTTAGGACACTGTTCTTCCTCTCCACCAGGCCCATGGCCTGGGGGTTTTAGGGCCAGTGGTAATGCCATTGTACTTTGCTCTCAGCCACACATTTGTGCACAACATGTCCTGTAAAGTGTGTTGTGGAACTGGCTAACAGGATTTCGTGTCTGGGGTCATCAGGTTTCCAGGTAGCTTTCATCTTACGAGCAATGAGCAGCTGTGGGTGGTGGGGGCGGTCTGTGCTGTCAGACTGCTCCTCCACTATCACTTCCATAGCCTATTCATTGCTGGCTCCATTCTCCCATGGATTCCATGTTTTCTCATCCCAGTCACCTCTTATCAACACTGCCCTAATCCTTGACTTTGGCACTTTCCTTCTTGGTGACAGAAGGACTGAGGCTTAATCCTCAATTTTAATTATTTCTGAAAGTCAGAAGATCTGGGCAAAGTTGGCAGAGGCCTCAGTAATTCGTGGGGCCGTACCTCCACCACATCAAGTGCAAGCATGGCTTCAGCCAGTTGCCTGGTAAGCTGAAGAAGGGCCCTCTTATTTTAGCTTTCCCCTTACTGTTGGCAGCTGTGACTATGTCACTGCTTGGTTATCTTGGCTGGGCAGTTATCAGAGAATTCCAGAGAGGTCCTCTAAGGTCTCTTCAAGGCCGCTGAACACAAACTGTCTTGAAGGCTTTTTACTCCTTTTTTTTTTCTCTGCTGTTTTACCTCTTGCTTTGTGCTGGGCCTTATAGGCTATTCTCAGTGCCGGGGACTTACTTAGTCCCTCCAGTAATCTCCAGTCCCATTGTTGGAGGGCTTTGAGCAATGGTTAGCGGATTGTTCCCCCAGCCCTTGAATCTCCCATTTTACAAACCTGTAGGTGAGCGTTTCTAGTTGCTCATCCTGTTCAAGGACGTGGCTGCTCAGTACATCAGTCGTGCCTTCGCATGACTGCTGCACATCCTTTTCCAGCTGTAAGTCTTTCTGCAAAGCTCTTATGCACACTTCAGCAGTTAGGTGGGCTTCAGTGGCCAGCCCAGGATTTCCCCAGCAGAAAAGCATATGGGCAGACCTACCCATGTGGAGGTCGCTGGTCAACCTGGGATTTCCCCTGTGGATGCCTCACTCCCACTCGCCATTTTCTTGGTTTCCTGGCTGACTCACCAATTGTCTAAGCATGGACTAGCAATCTGAAATTTGCCACCAAAATTGGAGGGTGCCGAGAGACCAAAGAAACAGGCAGGTAACTCCAGTGTGGCAGCCAAGGAGTCTTTATTAGTGAGATTTACACACCGAGCCAGTCCAAGTTCTGGGTGGCTGCAGGACCAAAGCAGATATCCACACCAGCAGTAGGAGGGGTGGAGGTTTTATAGTGGTCGAAGACAAAGGTGGCTCCGTGCCAGAAAGCTAACTAAGATTGCCTCAGCAAAGTCACATAACAGGGGCTTGGAAAACAGCAGTGAATTAACAGAAACAGGAGTGACTTAGCGGAAAGTATGAGGGCAGCCATGTTCAGCCTTGCAAAGCCTGTTTTCTCCATCAGGCTGCATCCCTGATTATTGCAACAGGTGATCTGTGAATTCTGCTTCTCCAGGATGGATTAAAAATCAAGGTCAATTTTCCTTTGTTTCTTCAATTATTCCCGCCTGATCCCATCTGCCGTTTCTAGGAAG